ACATGAGTTGGTGGACAGCAAAAGGGAAAATGATTTACATCTCTCCTTGGTTTCCCAGGTGCCATAGTGATAAAGAATCTGCCTGCAATGCAGGAGACACAGGAGACGTGGGTTCAGTCCTTGGGTTGGAAAGATTCTCTGGATAAGGAAATGGCAACCCACTCCAGTATTCTTGTCTGGAAAACTCCATGGACAGAGGAGCCTGGTGGGCTACAGTCCATGGGGTTGAAAAAAGTCGGCTACAATTGAGTGACTAAGCACATCTGGGCCACAGATTGCAGTCTGTTGCCTGAGTATGTTCCCTGTCTGCCAGAGTTCTCTCTTATCTCCTGGAAGTGTGCACCTCAAACTACAAATTCAAGGGAAGTTTAGATTTAGCAGTCAGGGCATTGAGGGTACCTATAGGCCTTACAAATAGCTGTGAAAAGAAGAGAAGCAAAAAGCAAAGGAGAAAAGGAAAGATATTCCCATTTGAATGCAGAATTCCAAAGAATAGCAAGGAGAGATAAGAAAGCCTTCCTCAGCAATCAATGCAAAGAAATAGAGGAAAACAACAGAATGAGAAAGACTAGAGATCTCTTCAAGAAAATTAGAGATACCAAGGGAACATTCCATGCAAAGATGGGCTCGATAAAGGACAGAAATTGTATGGACCTAACAGAAGCAGAAGATATTCAGAAGAGATGGCAAGAATACACAGAAGAACTGTACAAAAAAGATCTTCATGACCCAGATAACAACAATGGTATGATAACTCACCTAGAGCCAGACATCCTGGAATGTGAAGTCAAGTGGGCCTTAGAAAGCATCACTATGAACAAAGCTAGCGGAGGTGATGGAATTCCAGTTGAGCTATTTCAAATCCTAAAAAGTGATGCTGTGAAAGTACTGCTCAATTGCACTCATCTCACACCCTAGTAAAGGAATGCTCAAAATTCTCCAAGCCAGGCTTCAGCAATACATGAACTGTGAACTTCCAGATGCTCAAGCTGGTTTTAGAAAAGGCTGAGGAACCAGAGATCAAATTGCCAACATCTCCTGGATCATCAAAAAAAGCAAGAGAGTTCCAGGAAAACATCTAGTTCTGCTTTATTGACTATGCCAAAGCCTTTCACTGTGTGGATCACAATAAACTGTGGAAAATTCTGAAAGAGATGGGAATACTAGATGACCTGACCTGCCTCTTGAGAAACCTATATGCAGGTTAGGAAGCAACAGTTAGAACCGGACATAGAGCAACAGACTGGTTTCAAATAGGAAAAGGAGTATGTCAAGGCTGTATATCGTCACCCTGCTTATTTAACTTATATGCAGAGTACATCATGAGAAACACTGGGCTGGAAGAAGCACAAGCTGGAATCAAGATTGCCGGGAGAAATATCAGTAACCTCAGCTATGCAGATGACACCACCCTTATGGCAGAAAGTGAAGAGGAACTAAAAAGCCTCTTGATGAAAGTGAAAGAGGACAGTTAAAAAGTTGGCTTAAAGCTCAACATTCAGAAAACTAAGATCATGGCATCTGATCCCATCACTTCATGGCAATTAGATGGGGAAACAGTGGAAACAGTGTCAGAATTTATTTTGGGGGGGAGGGGCTCCAAAATCACTGCAGATGGTGATTGCAGCCTTGAAATTAAAAGACACTTACTCCTTGGAAGGAAAGTTATGTCCAGCCTAGATAGCATATTAAAATGCAGAGACATTACTTTGCCAACAAAGGTCCGTCTAGTCAAGGGTATGGTGTTTCCAGTGGTCATGTATGGATGTGCGAGTTGGTCTGTGAAGAAAGCTGAGAGCCAAAGAATAGACGCTTTTGCACTGTGGTGTTGGAGAAGACTCTTGAGAGTCCCTTGGACTGCAAGGATATCCAACCAGTCCATCATAAAGAAGATCTGTTCTGGGTGTTCATTGGAAGGACTGATGTTGAAGCTGAGACTCCAATACTTTGGCCACCTCATGCAAAGAGTTGACTCATTGGAAAAGACCTTGCTGCTGGGTGGGATTGGGGGCAGGAGGAGAAGGGGACAACTGAGGATGAGATGGCTGGATAGCATCACCGACTCGATGGACATGAGTTTGAGTAAACTCCGGGAGTTGGTGATGGACAGGGAGGCCTGGCGTGCTGAGATTCATGGGGTCGCAAAGAGTCGGACACGACTGAGCGACTGAACTGAACTGAACTGATGGACTTCATAATCTATCCTCTTGATGTTATATTCCCACAGGCGTCTGGGTGAACTTCCTGCTGAGCACAATCCCTTTAGTGCATTCTTTCTCCCCTAGTGGAGACTCTCCAAAAGTTACTCTTATGATCACTGCTTCCACTCAACCAAAGTTGTGTGTATATATATGTATACATATTTTACATATAAATATAAATATATTATAAACACACACATGCACTGTAAGGTATAGTTCGAGACAAGGCAAGGAAAAAGAAGACGACCGCAACAGAGACAGGTTACATTTATTTAGGCAAGGAAGGGCGACAGTCAGTCTAACGACCAGGCTGAGCACGTGCGGGATCAGGAAGGCTTCATATTTACGGGGGGTTTTACAAAAGCAATAAGGGAAGATTTAGTCAAAGGGATGAACAGGGATGGGGGGTCCCGGGCCGGGGGTGGAGGGTGCTGGGCTGAAGCAATCTGCCCAAAGTCCCAAGGTGGGACTTGAAGTTCAGTTTTGTCATCCCCGAAGTGAGATGATTTAGCAAGGGCCCTTGAGATCATTATCTTCTTTTTCCAGGCCCAAGGACTTTGAGGTCTTTATCTTCTTTCTAGACCCAAGGACTCCTTCATGCAAGCGCACACACACACACACACACACACACACACACACACATATATATATATATAATCCCAGTGTTATACTGGAATCTACCATTTGGATGGTTAGACTTTTTTCAGATTCTCCCTTATGTGTGGAAATATGAAATGCCCAACTGCACACTTTTCAGATTTTATCCTGACCACAGAGAGAGGGGTCTGGAAAGATTTCCTTACTCTTTAGTCTTCTCAGTACATACTGAACTCCATCTATTATCAGTTTCACAGGTAGATAAGAATCTTCCCAGCCACCTTGGTGTATGGTGCTATAACTTGCAACATCCGCAGACGTTCTTTTCTTTGTGAATGGATATCCAAATCATTTCTTAAAAGGGGGATAAGAGGAGGAATGCATTACAATTCCATGATACTGACTCACTGGAACCTCTAATTCTTTTTTTTTTTAAATAACTTATATTAGCTTAATAACTATTCTTACCTCTTTGAGCAGATAAATTGTAGTTAAATTTTGATTTATTTTTAGTTTTTTGCTCACTGTGTAGTCTGTCATCTTTTAAAAAGTATTATTGTTTGTTTTGAATTCTGCTATTTGTTTTAAATGCTTTTCTCCAAAGACTAGTGATCCCTGACACTTGCTGGGAAAGTCTCTGGGTCAATTATTATTGGTAGAGTTCACTGAACTATGATCTCACTCTACATTGATCTGGGGTGCCAAATGTCAGTATTTCTAGATATTTTCTTTGAAATTATCTGCCTCTTCTGAAAGAAATCTTTCTGGGAGCTACTAGCATTTTCAGAACTAAAGCAGGAAAAGCAAACTGGGACTTCGCAAAACTGTGTATGGGCTTTCAGATTACATACCCATGCATCCGTATTTTGCCTTTCCAAAACAGAACTCCTTTTATGCAACATCTACATAAAGGAAGTGTTAACGTTATGTCAGGTAAGGGAGGGGTAAATTTTCAACTTCATGAAATAAGTCTGAGGATCTTGGAACTGCTAGATTTTTATGCAGATTTTTAGCCAAGTTTCAGTTTTAGCTCTACCTGTAGTGTTGAGTTATACCTGGTTACTTTAACTTCAAACTATTGAGTGTTCTTTTAGCATGATTTAACTTATTTCTGAGCTGATTAGATTGCTAGCTTAGCATTCTACATTTTAGATATAATAAGTCAAATATTGATTATCCTTTTTCTTTCCAGACTCACAGATTTCAAAAACAAACTTATGGTTACTAAAGTTGATAAGGAGGAGGAGGCATAAACTAGGAGTTTTGGATTAACATATATACAATTATGGTCAGTCATTTCCGACTCTTTGTGACTCCATGGGCTATAGCCAGGCTTCTCTCTCCATGGGATTTCCCAGGCAAGAATATTGGAGTGGGTTGCCATTTCCCTCTCCAGGGGATCTTTCCAACCCAAGGACCCCCATCAGCAGGCAGATCCTTTACCACTGAGTCACCAAGGACGCCCCCATATGCACACCATGTGTATGCTAAGTCGCTTCAATCATGTCCAGCTCTTTTTGACCCTATGGACTGTAGCTGCCAGGCTCCTCTGCCCATGGGATTCTCCAGGCAAGTATACTGGAGTGGGTTGCCATGTCCTTCTCTAAGGGATGTTTGCAATGCAGGAATCGAACCAGTGTCTCTTGTGGCTCCTGCATTGCAGGTGGATTCTTTACTGCTGAGCCAGCAGGAAAGCCCCATATGCACACTACTATATATAAAATAGATAATCAATGGGGACCTACTGTATATCACAGGGAACTCTACTCAATATCTGTAATAACCTATAAGGGAAAAGAATCTGAAAAAGAATGGATATGTGTACAACTGCTGTATACCTGAAACTAACACAGCATTGTAAATCAAATATACTCTAATATAAAATAAAATAAAATTTAAAAATATGACGTATTAGCTTGAGATTGAAAGTGGCAAATTGTAATAATTTAAAATTAATTTAAAAAACCAGTTGCCTACTTGCAAGATGTCAGATACTGTTCTTAAACATGGGGTAAACATGAAGGGAAAACTGTTTCCATTTTTCAAAACACATTTAATGACATTATTTGACTTTGATCTTCACAAAGTTCTGCCAAGTATTTTGAGAAGGAATTAGCCTCATGGAAGATAGAGAAATTTATAACCATATTTTCTGACTTCCGGTCTTGTGATTTTGTGCTAAAACTTGCTATTCTTTGATAGACAATTTCCATAAGCAGGGAAGCACGTGGCACAGTACAAACCTGGACGCTTGTTAATCCTGATAATGACCTGGGGAAAACATATCCCTCCGGGAGTAACACGCAGATAAATCTATGTTCAGCTTCTGTTGTGTGCCATGTAGGCTGGTCTACCAAGGACCTGCTGTTCCATGCTGAGAGGCAGTCAGACCCTATCTGGGGTCTTTCTAAAGGTGAGGGATATGGGCATAACATTAGCTGAATCATTTCTTCCACATACTTATTTCATTTACACAATAAATTAAAATATATATTTATATAATATGAAAATTATAATAATGGATGATATAAAGTCTACTTATTAAATAGCCCATTAAATCTTTTACTGAATACCAAGAAACATTCAGACATAAAAGGATGTTTGTCAATACTGAAAATATTTAGAGAAGGATTTGGTGTGGAGAAAAGAATTCAGAACTTTGTTGCCAAAAAAAAAAAAAAATGACAGTACATCCCTGACAACTTAGACTACTATTCACTTCGAATGAAGTGGAGTCCTGCTAACAATTCTATTAACCAAGTGAAACCAAACACTTAAAACTTCAGATACTCAGTCAAGAAGATTTAAATGAGACAGGGTAATTGTAAGAATGAAAGATTTCATGGCATTGAAAGCTTAACTCAAAGAACAGGTTGACATATATAATTATCCCAAACCAGAAGTATTTCCACTTTGTTCTTTTTTGTTGTTGTTGTTGTTTTCTATTTTTTTTTAAGTTGGGATTATGCTGAGAATAGATCTGATTAACAGAAAATGAGACGGTTGTATGGCATCACTGACTCAATGGACATGAGTTTGAGCAAGCTCTGGGAGTTGGTGATGGACAGGGAACCATGGAGTGCTGCAGTTCACGGGGTTGCAGAGTCGGACACGACTGAGCAACTGAACTGAACTGATGTCTAATTAAACCAGCATGACTATAATGATCTTGCCAAATATTTACCAAAGACTCAGTGAGTGCTTCTTTCAAATATCCAAGAGAATTAAAATTTAGGGAAATACTTAGGGTTTCTGTTCTACTGTATCATCTTGATTTGCATACTTAGATACAAATATATTTGTGGTGAATAAATATCTGTAGCATAAACTCTTGATTATCCCACTTTGCTTTATTAATGTTATTAGATTTTTATGTTCATTCAGTTATATTAGGTTTTAGTCATTGCATGACTAAAGACAAGGGTCTTGACTTGCTCCCTGATCCATCCCAAGTACCAAGAAATTTTCCTAATGCAAAATACAGTTACTTTGAATGAAAAAATGTCACTTCATTTTAGAAGAATTCACACTTGAAAATACATATTTTAATGTTTATGCAATTCTTTTTTCTTTTTTCTGGAAGATCAGGTTTGAAGAGTTACAGTGAAAACTGAAAATCAAAGTGAATAGGTACCTTCTGCATGTTTGCACAGAATTGCCTGCCCAGGATAACAGTGGAAGCAAAAGAAATATAATTAAATTCTTTCCAAATTCACCAGTTCAGATATCATTTCTACTGAAGCATTTTAGACCTGTGGCTCCTGCAAAGAAACATCATTGGTTTTTGCTAGATTTGTCATAGATATCTGTCCCCCTTTGGAGCCAATAAGAGGTAGGTATCATAGGTAGGCATTTACTCAGATATAGAGATAGAAACTTGCATTTTTTCCATATTGGCTGAAAACTTACATGTTAGAACAAGGCTTATGATTGTATATATGAGCTGGCATTATCAAGAATTATCCTTTCCCTGAATTTCCATAGTGTTTACCTGCAATGGGCAGTGGTTTTAATCAGTAGCCAATAACCTTAGGAAGATAAAATGAGGAAACAGGTTAGAACATAGTGAAGTCCATGTCTTTGGACTTCATCTACAGTTCAACTAATAGAACTGATTAAGCTGCAACAGAGAGCTGTTTCCTTGCATCCCTGGAAATATTGTGAGAAAATTTCCATGAGACAAAAATGAATATAGAGTTGAAGGAAGTCAGGACTCCCTGTAAATAATGGTCCTTTGTAATCTGAAAGATTATAACAATCTTTATATTTGAGTATATTTAACAACAAGATAGCAACATATGCAGTGCATGTCTTCAATGCTCTCAGTCTTAAGACAGAGAACTTGTCCAGTGCTATTTTAATTGAAAATAAATGTTTTTATAAATGTATACTTATAATCCAAAAATTATATAATTATGTTTACTATCATGTTTGCTTTAAATACAGTGAAAATTAGGCTAAAAGGATTAAAGGTTATACATACTGGCCGTTTTCAAATTCAGAAGTTAATACTATCTTCTCATTCTGGAGCCTGTTCTGTTTCCACAATTGCCAAATTAACGAGTTCTTTATTTTGAGTGAAGGGAGAGTCTAAACATTTTCATAACATTATTAGGTGCCAGGTACTGTTATGAGAGCTTTACACAAAATCCTCCCAATATCCTTGAGGGCAGGGGCTGCTCTGATGTACTTTTGGCCAGTTACAAATTTGAAGAGGGACTTTCCCACTATGGCTAATAAATGGCAGGTCTTGGATTTTCACCCAAGGCAATTATGTACAGGTTTTACATAATGATCAGGAAAAAAAGGTAAACTGACATGGTTTGAAGTGATTATAGAAAACTGGGAAATTTAAACTATCAAACCAGAGTTGTTTATACCAATGCATAAATCTATCACTTATGGGAATTATTTTGTATATATTTCTTCTCTCTTTGATAAAATGTTATTTTACTTTTCTAATAAGTTACATGTTTACAAGTTCACATTTTCTGATTATTTTGATGTATGTATGTTAGTGAGTCCCTTCAAATTTAACATGCAAAAACTAAAGTGCACATTTTAAGGCCAGAAGCACATACTTCAAGTGACATCTTGCAGTATGGAAGCTTAAGAGTCAGAAGGAAGCAGATGAATTCTGTTTTAGAATGCAGGATCCAATTTAAGCAGGATTCTGGTGTAAATTTGATACATCTTAGTGACCCTACCAATACTGAAAGACTGAGAAATGGAAAATTATAGGTATTTATTGCCCAAGTTGTGAATAGGAAGCTTATTCTTTAACTTAAAATTAAATTATTTTTGCACACATAATCTATGATGTAGGAAAACGGAAAATATAGTGAAAATAAACTGATGTTCTTGAGATTCGACCATCAGTGAAACTTTTACTTCATAATTGTGTGTGTATTTATATGTGTGTGTGTGTGTGTGTGTGTGTACATATATACATACACATACTTAAAGTAAGTAAAGTCGTTCAGTCATGTCTGACTCTTTGCGACCCCATGGACTGTAGCCTACCAGACTCCTCTGTCCATGGGATTTTCCAGGCAAGAGTACTGGAGTGAGTTGCCATTTCCTTCTCCAGGGGAACTTCCTGACCCAGGGATCGAACCCGGGGTCTCCAGTGTTGCAGACAGACACTTTACCGTCTGCGCCACCATATGCACATTAAAACATATGTATATATGTTTTTGTATATAGCTCTTTACCACAGGTATACTAGTGATACATATATCCTTATCACATATGTATTATAAATTATATGTGTAAAACATTTTTTTATCAGGGAGGAAAAATATATACACAATAGCATCTGTTCTTGGACACATACAAAAATTTTATATGTATTATGATAAGATATTTATATTATATATAAAGAATATAAGGGATTTCTAACTGCTGGATTTTTCACTTAAGAATGCAGTGAAACTGTCATACCATAATGATTTTCAGTCTACCTCATATCCTAAAGGATGCTTGGAATCTTATTACTAATTCCAAAATCTAAATAATTTTGTAAGTGTCCAATAGCAGATGCTTAAGCTGCCTCTGTTTTCTTAGTAATACAAAAAATACCAAGATGAATATTTATATAAAATTGCTCACTTATTTCTTAATTTCTATACAAAATTTGCTAGGAGTAGAAAATATATGTTATTTTTAAAGTCCAGATATTGGTTTGCTGCTCTAACAGAAATAATGCCTACTTCCATTCTCACCAGCAATATATGACAGTACTCTCTAGATACTCAGTGTCGATACAATCTAACTCTTAAATAGAGGTTCAATTTGAGTAAGACTGGCAGTTTCAACCCCATTTCTATAGCCTGAGTCCTGTGCAACAGAGGAGAATGCAACCAGTGCCCTCCAACATCAGTCTTGTTGAGGAAGCTTCTTTCAGCCTGTACAAACAAGAAGATTTAGAGCAGGTAAATCTTATGCTCCAACTTTTTCACTTTGAGCATGCAGTGCACAGCTGAGTACAATCAGATTAACAGCTTCACATTTCATCACATCTCATAGCCTCAGAGTTAAAGGAATATGGCACAAAAGATTCAGTGACTCATCATACATATTCAGGGGAGAAAGTGGTGGGATTTGTTCTAAAATCACCCAGGAAAATACAGAGGGGACAACCTGGCTGGAAAAGAATTTGGGGAACACATTTAGTTTTCAAATGACATTCTTTAATAATAAGTCCGATCCAGCTCCAGCAGGGAACAATTGTATTGGAAACATCTGGTCTGATGTAACCGTTTATCCTAGATTCACAAATCAGTGAACTTTCAAAGTACCAGTGCCTGTAGGGAGGCTTTGCTTTAAAACAATGATGTACTGTGTTTCAACAAAAATTGCATGTAACCGTAAAATATAGAAGTCTAATCGCAGAGTTCACATTTGACAGAGTCTTTTGAAAAATGCAATTTAAAATGTTATGTCTGCTCCCCATTTGGGAGCACCTGTGTGTAGGAAAATATAGTAGAAGAAGATAACTATAATTTTAAAATATTTGCAAATTTGTGGTTTTAGATTTGTATATCACTGACGGGATAGTTCTGAAGACATTTCAGTTTATTTCACAAGGATTTAAAATGGATTCACGCGCATGTGTTTGTGCTCAGTCGCTCAGTCGTATCCACCTTTTTGCAACTCTATATAGATTGTAGGCCACCAGGCTTCTCTGTCCATGGGATTCTCCAGGCAAAAATATTGGAGTGGGTTGCAATTTCCTACTCCAAAGTGGGTTCATAACTCTATGCAATATTTTGAAATGGCTCTGTTGTTTATTCTTTACTCAACTTCATGTAATAGTCTTGTCCTCAGGGGTTTTTTATCCTTAAGTGAACTCTGCTACTTTCCTCTGATACACATT